TATTGTTTCAGATCTTATATTTTGGTCTTTGATCCATTTTGAATTAATTTTTTAACATGAGGACAAACTGTAGTCCAGTTTCATTTTTTTGCCTGTGGCTTTCCAATTTTCCCAGCACCATTTAATGCTGGGAAAGGCTTTCATTCCTCCATTGTGTATTTTTGGCATCTGTGTCAAAAATTATTTGCTTATATACATGTCATTTTATTTCTAACATGTATATAAGCAAATAATTAGTCTGTGTGTTCTATTAGTCTGTGTGTCTGTTTTTCTGCCAATACCATGCTGTTTTGATTATTGTTGCTCTGTAGTACAATATAATGTGAAAGCAGGTGGTGTGATACCTCCAGCTTCATTATTTTTTCTCAGAATTGCTTTGGCTATTGGGGTCTTTTGTGGTTCTATTCACATTTGATGATTTTTGTTCTATTTTTTTTTTAAGTGACATTGAGATTTTGATGAGGATTGTATTAAATCTGTATTTTGCTTGGATAATATGGTCATTTTAATTATGTTGATTCTTCCAATCCATGAACACCAAGTATCTTTCAATTTTATTGTCTCTTTTTCAATCTCTTTTAATAATGCTTTATAATTTTCAGTATACTAGGTGTACTGGTTAATAAGGCAGATTTTTTTCAGTAGATGGAATTACACATATGTTGATATATATGTGATTTTATATGTATGCTATTTTGTTGTATTGACAACAAGCTTCAAAACTTCATACGTCAAATTTGCTGAAGGTGTTAACATCATAGATATTTTTATACTTAAAAACGTCGAATTTTGTGCCAAAAAAAAAAAGAGCATTTGTGGAAAGTTATAATTCATTACTTGATTTTGAAGAAAAGTGCTGCTGAATACTTCGGGAAGCTTATGATGAACATGCTCCATCTCAAGTTCTTGAGAACACTGGTTTAAATGTTTTAAAAGTTATGATTTTGATGTGAAAGATAAAGAACATCCAGATCAACCTGGATGTTTGAAGACCAACAATTACAAGCATTATTGGATGAAAATACGTGTCAAACTCAAAAACAACTTGCAGAAAGATTAAACATTGCTCAGCAAACAATTTCTGATCGTTTTCAAGCAATGGCGAGGATTTTAAAGGAAGGAAAATGGGTACCACATCAACTGAACAAAAAACAAATGGGAAACCGAAAAATCATCAATAAAGTGTTGCTTCAAAGGCACGAAAGAAAGCATTTTTTGCATCGAATCGTGACTGGTGATTTATTTTGAGAATCCCAAATGCACAAAATCATGGGTTGATCCAGGTGAACCATCAACATCGACTGCAAGGCCAAATCGCTTCGGAAAGAAGACAATGCTTTGCCTTTGGTGGAATCAGGAAGATGTATTAATGAGCTTCTAAAACCAGGTGAAACAGTTAATTACTGACAACAAATAATCAATTTGAGCCACGCTTTGATAGTGAAACGACCAGAATGTTCCAGAAGACTCAGCAAAATAGTTTTGCTTCATGATGACGCACTATCACACACTTCAAAACCAGTTAAAGACACTCACAACAAGAAAAGTTCTATTGGGACGGTAACCACAAATTACTTGAAAGATGGGGGAAATGTGTAACTAGCGATGGACATCACTTTGAATAAAGCACTTTTGGTGTTTCTCTCAAAATTATATTAGCATGTCCTTCACATCCTTTGTTAAGTTTATTCCTATGTATTTTATTCTTTTGGTTGCAATTGTAAAAAGAATTGCTTTTTGTTTTGTTTTATTTTTTTTCATTTCTTTTTCTGAAGTTAAATTGTTAGTTTATAGGAAAGTAGTAGATTTTTGTACATTGATTTTGTATCCTGCAACTTTAATGTACTTGTTTATTGTTTCTAATAGTATTTTTGTGGAGTCTTTAGGCTTTCCTATATAAAAAATCATGTCATCTGCAAAAAGTTACACTTTTACTTCTTCCTTCCCAATTTGGGTGCCTTTTATTTCTTTCTCTTGCCTGATTACTCTGGCTAGAACTTCTAAAATTACGTTAAATAAGAGTGGTAAGGTTGGACTTCCTTCTTTTGTTCCTGGTTTTAGAGGAAGAACTTTCATATATATGATTTTTTTTTAATTTTTTATTTTTTTACAGAGAGGAAGGGAGAGGGATAGAGAGTGAGAAACATCAATGAGAGAGAAACATAGATCAGCTGCCTCCTGCACACTCCATATGGGGTATGTGCCCACAACCAAGGTACATGAATCAAACCTGGGACCCTTGAGTCTGCAGGCCAATGCTCTATCCAATGAGCCAAACCGGTTAGGGTGAGCTTTCAGTTTTTTAAATCAATGTTTATATTTCCAATTAAGTTAAATTAGTTCTCTTGCTCTTCAGAGTTTTGAATTGGCCTGCTTTTAAGTGGAGGCATCTAATGGGAAGAAACCCAGCTTCTCTCTGTAAAGATGCTTAAGAAAGAATATTTGGGCTGGGACAGGTTTGGCTCAATGGATAGAGCGTCGGCTTGGGGACTGAAGGGACCCTGGTTTGATTCCGGTCAAGGGCATGTACCTTGGTTGCGGGCATATCCCCAGTAGGGGGTGTGCAAGAGGCAACTGATCGATGACTCTCTCTCATCGATGTTTCTAACTCTCTATCTCTCTCCCTTCCTCTCTGTACAAAATCAATAAAATATATTTTAAAAAAAGAAAAAAAAAGAAAGAATATTTGGTTGCTAATACATACTCCAGTCCCAAGTTACATGCACCCTCTTTGTGGAACCAGTGGGAAAACCCCGTTCCTGAGCTGTGTGTGTTCTCTGCTCTTACTTTGCAGAGCTTGGCTTTGTCTGCCTCCGTACGTTCTCCTCTCTCATGTGGTGCTGCCAGGCACTGCCTCAACACCTTGAGCCATGTCTTGGCTATGCACCTGGGGACTGAAAGGCACTGACACCAAACCCACCCACTACCCATCACACCCCAGAATAATTTACTGGGATGCTGAAATCATATCCAGGCTCCTGAAGCAGTTAAACTTGCTTCATAGATATACTGACCAGAAATAATGTCTTCATCCAGAAGATGGTATTCAAGTTTGCTACAGAAGCTCTATATACCAGGGTTACATCTACTTTCCCCTCACAGAAGAATTTATCAATCCTGAAAAATAAGATTTGGAGAATGAACTTAAACATTACTTGGGGGAAAAAAATGGTGCTGAAGTAAAAATCTTCAATATTCACTTGATAAAATCTGCTGAATAAGAAGCCAGGATGTTTTTATTGACTAGCTGGGAGCAGCAGGCTCTTGGGTATTTGAGTTGCAACGGATTTTAGTAGTCATCTGAGGTAACCTTTATTGTAAAGAAACACTTATTACTTTTCAGTTGTGTTGGCAAACAGCTATTAAGCACTGGTCTCTTATGGCTGGTTCCTGACATTGAGCTTGATTCCTGTTAGGAATATAATTAAAGTGTCATCTCCCACCAAAAGATACAGAATCTAAAATAAAAAAATAAATAAAAAATAGGTAGCCATGGTGATGATGAAGCTGTTACTTGAAGAGTTGTTTTTACAATATCTTTATTATGCATGTTGTCATTTAGAGCAGGACTGTCTAATGGAAGTGTTATGGGAGCCACATACGTAATTTTAAATTTTCTAACAGCCGAGTTAAAAAATGTAAAAAGAAACAGGTGGTATTAATTTTCATGACATCTTTAACTCACCATACCCCAGATAGTATTATTTTGGCATATAATTAATATAAATATTATGAATGAGATATTTTATATTCTATTTTTCTTACTTCCTACATTCAGTTTATGTTTAACTCAGCACATCTCAAATCAGAGTAGCCACATCTCAATGTGCTTGTACCCACATGTGGCCAGTGGCTACCATGTTGGGCAGCACAGATTTAGAACATATTCCTTCAAATATTAAAGAAATAAGTACATTAAAATAGAATAAACTATTTTAGAAATAGTTCTTAATACTTTTACACAACTAGAAAAGGGGAAAAGTATGTTGAAAACTACTTAAATAGGTCAGTGGAGTAAAATAGCTATCTGATGTATTAATAGTCTGCATTTCTTATTGGAAAATATTGATCACATGTTAATGATCACAAGTTAAAAATTAGGGCAAACTAGGACACAGTTTGCCTTGTAACGAGTAAGTTTTCTATCAACAAGCCTTTGTGCCCACTCCGATTCCTGCAGTTACAAGACAAAGCTTCCCAAGGAGCCAGGCCTCTCTGGAGCATGATCTTAGAGGCCTGGTTATGAGTGTGAGAACTTGTAGGGACAAGTAAAAACCCCCCAAAATGAAACATTGCTACAGAAACTCTTCAAAAAAAAGGGAAAGATTACCACTGGTTGTCTGAGGCTAATAAAAAAACAAAGAACTATTATAAATCGTCCATCTTAGGTGGACTCAATATAGAATTATTTATAGTGGGAATCTTTTCTGTGAGAGTTCTTTATTTCCTGAGACCTTTCGTGTAAATATCTGTGTTTTCATTTCATTAAGTCAGGGTGGATTATTTTTACTCAAAGATGTAATTTGAAGTTTTGGAAAAGGAGAAGAATTTGTCTATTTTCATATAGTTTGTGTTATCTACTCATGACTCTCATTGTACCTGCCCTCACATCATCTTTAGTGGAAAAACGTATTGCCTAAGAGCTCTCAAATAAGGTAAGGGTAGGAAAATTGTCTTCATTGGTAAATGTTTCTAAAAAGTTGGAAAGTATCTTAGTCAGTGGAACCAGAAACCCCTTTCAATCCCTTTGTTAAGCTGTCTTTAAATATATAGATTTTATGAGGGACAAATTGAGGAAAAAAGGTGAATTCTAAAATAGCAGTTCTCTGCTCAGAGCCTTATAATTAAGGTTTTGGGTACTTTTTTTTTTTTTTAAATTCTCAATGGAGTGCAGTCCCATTTCTCCCACTCCTGTCATGCAAACCTCAATCTGAATTTCTTGCCTGCTCTTCCTTGGATTGATTTCTAAGATATTTTCCCCCCTTTTTTTTGGCACCCAGGAATTAAATATCTTTAATTACTTGGATCTGTACAGACTTGCTGACCTCTTTAACCTCACTTTGTTGGAGAAGGCAGTGATCGATTTCTTAGTGAAGCATCTCTCTGAACTCCTGAAGAGCCGCCCAGAAGACGTTCTAACGCTTCCTTATTGTCTGCTTCAGGAGGTCCTGAAGAGCGACCGCCTGACCTCCCTGAGTGAAGAGCAGATCTGGCAGGTAAGGGTGCTCTGCATGGGGCTCTGTGGGTGTGGAGAGGGCACAAAATGATTAAAAGTTAAAGGATTGTCCTGGCCGGTGGCTCTGTGGTCAGAGCATTGGCCCACAGATTCCTGATATGCCTGGGTTGCAGGTTCGATACCTGGCCCCACTCCTGGGCACATGGGAGCTACCAATTGATGTGTCTCTCTCACTTTGATGTTCCTCTCTCTTCCTCTCCCTTTCTACCTCTCCTTCCTCTCTCCCTCACCCCTTCCCTCCTCCCTTCAACTGTCTAAAAATGAATGGAAAAAATATCCTTGGGTGAGGATTAACAACAAAAAAGTTAAAGTATTGAGGGACAATGAGAAATATTTTGTTTGGTTTGGTCCTTACTGGACTCAAAGTCTCAGAAGTCATGCTCCTTGATGGACAAGTAACTGAAGAACTAGCCCTAGACGCTTGGAGGCCTTAGCCAGCTCAGTTTACCTCGGGATTCGCTGGGAGATGCCTCAGGGTCTCCCTGTGACTTCCCAAATCCCCAAGCCAAAGGCTTTGTATGTTTTGTCTTCCGATAAAAGTATTTTCTTAAATTGAATATGAGAAGGATGGATTGTCAAGTGGCACTTAGGCAGTTTCAAGACCAATGGAATCAGAATAAGTTCTGGGCTTGCCTATACACAATTCAGAAACAGTCCTTTGTTGCAGCAGAGAGCAACTGAGACCTTAAATCAAACGAAGCTCTTCTGGCACTGCAGCGGAAAATCTCCCTCCCTAGTTCATGCCGCATTCATTGCAGTTTCCTGAGCCCTGCCTTTTCACCTGGCATGGCATTCTTTTTTGAATATCCTTTGTCTCGGGAAAGGAGGATGTGTTGTGTTTTCAAGTTGATTATTCAATTTAAATTCTTCTCCGCTTGCTCATCCCCAGTGGCTATCTTTGAACAATCTGCTTGATGTCTGGGAAACCGTCAGAGCCCATCTTCCCCCTGCGTCTAAAGACTGTCTGTCTCACTCTCTGAAACACGGGCTAGCCATCTTGTTACTTGTAGGGCAGCATACCTTCAAAATGTCATGCTCATGTGAAAAATACTTACATACAGACTATTTGGGGGGGAAATATGAAGTTTTCTATTAACTGATAAGGCAGTGAATTACCAAATAGCATTCAGAGAACCAATAACCAAAACAGAGTGAGACGTGGCTATTAATTAAATCCAGTGTCTGACTCTGCAGATTGATTTTTCTGATGTCTTTCTCCTTATTTCTTCCTTTGCATTACTTTAATCAGCAACTTCTTTCTTCATTGTTGCTTCCGTCAGTGATGGTAATGAGAGCTGTGGTGTACTGAGGACTTTCAAGACATGGGTTCTTTTCAAACTTTTGACTTATCATCCCAGCAGGCCTGAAGGATGGTTGTTATCACCCCATTTAACAGATGAGCAAAATAAGGCTTTAGTGCCTTGCTCAGGGTTACAGAGCAGAGCAAGCCTTCAAGCCCAAGTCTGCTGACAGCCTGCCCAAGTCTGCTGACAGCTGCAGTGTTCCACACCACCTTGGAAAACAAAATATCGGGACACAAAAATAAGCTCTAGATTTTTTTTTTTTCTTTCTTTCTGCTTCTTAGGTATTTCTCATAATATTTGTTCAGACAGAGGTCAAAAGTGTTTGTGGAAGATAAGTTTTGGGTATAAATTTTAATTATCTGGTATTCTCCCTGTAAACACAAATCATCAGAATTTTGGGGGCAATTCAAAGTGGGAAATGGCTATGTTATTTTTCTTTGCTTTCCCAAAGGGGAAAAGAAAGACTTGGAATGAATTCTGCATTTAATTGTTTATAACTGAACTGAGATCTGAACCAACCATCATCCTTGTGGCTTCTGCTTCTTTTGGGGGCATGGTTGAAGGCACGGCCAGAGATGGACATGGCAATATGCACAAGTCTAGTCTGAGTGCCCAGAAATCCACACTGTCCACTTTTATGAGTTTCCACAATTGCCTCTCTAAAGGTTACTAATATTATAATGTCAAAATTTAAAAACGGCTTTTGGCTGCAGGCAAATTTTTTTACACCTGGTCCTCAAGAAAGAATTAAAAGATTCACATAAATATGGTCAATTTAGGCTTTCAGCAGGCAATAAGAAACTGTTTTTGCTTTATTTTAGTATATTAGTAATTCCCTCATACTCAACCCAATAGAGAAAAATCAAATCAGACCAGCTATATTGCCTCAAGTATAGTTAAGTTCATCATTTTTTGCCGAGGTTATACTAGTAATGCAATATACCATGGAAGAATCTAATATGCAGCCCAGGGTGAAGATTGGGTATGCCAGAGGATTAGTGTCAGGGTGCTTTATAGAAGTGAAACTTGATGGACAGGCTGGAGACAGATCTACAGAATCTCATTAAATTGCTGAATTGTTCATTACGGAGTGTTCTCACTGTAATAAAGTGCTCATTGACTTTGACAAATCCCCATCCCATGTCTTAAAGAAGAACGGTGAGGCTCACGGTGTTGGCGAGGAGAAAAGAAATTGGCACAAAGTCAGATAGGTAATATAAAAGTGGATGGAGGGTAGTGCAACTTTGATTAATGTGTGCAACTGGTAACTTATGGGGGAGCCCAGTAAACACCCCCCACACACACACACACACAAGTGTGTGTGTTTATACATGTGGCACTTCCACAATCTACTGACAATATAATCTGGGACATTCCCTTTATTTTGGTGAAAGGTCTTAATTTCATTCACTAGACTACAAGCAGTCTGTCTCTGAAGACGTGTCATAAGGACCTTCAATTTATCCTTACTGAACAAACTCTTTTTCCTTTTTTTCTGCTGTCCCTTATTCAGTCTCTTTCCTGATAAAATGTGCTGCAGGCTGTAATAGCCATTCTGTGGATCTGGGAACCTGTGAAATCCCCCAAGATTATGCCTTATATCTGTTCTTTTATTTTCATCTGACCTTTTCAAACTTTATCTTAAGTCTCTTCTCTCACAGAAGGTTTCTTCATCCCCCATAGACAATTTTTTCCTCCCTTCCATCACCTGCAACTATTTGTCCTGTTAGTGTAACTTCACTTTATATTCACAGGTGATGTAGATACTGCACCCTATATATAGGTATGTGGTGTATAAGGACACAGAAGTCCCCTCAAAAAAATTTCTGTATAAAAATTCAATTCAGTTCAGCTCAACAATTTGGCTTTACAGTTTCAAGGCCAGCAATTTCTCAGGTTCCAGATGGAAGACACAATTGATTATGGGCTCAAGAAAGGAGGGGCTAAAAATGAGCAAAGCAGCTGGAGAGGAAGCATGGGGCATGACATGGCGAGTCTCCACCATTTTTATTCTGCTTTGGGATTTAGACCTAACTTAGGGCTTTGTTTCAGTAGGACCCTGTTAAATTTCTTCATATAGATTCAACATATAGCTTCAGACTATTGAGCCAGGATCCTGCTATAAAGTTTGGAGTGGAATAGTGAAACAATCTTCTACCACGCCCACACATCGGGTCTGTTTCCATTTGCACAAGAAGCTCTGGCTAATCTCAGTTTTTTTCTGAGGAAAGGGGGATCTCTGCCTTCCCTACCTAAGATCGCCTCTCAGCAGAATGCGGGGGAGATTGCTTTCCATGGGAGAACGGTTTTTAGAAAAAGCCTGAATATAATATAAGTGCTAATGTTTGCTAGCACAGGGAAAAGGTGTGGCTCTCTCAGGACTTGTTGAGCACCTGCCAAACGGCCCAAACCACACTGCAGTGGAAGGCACGGTTCCCCTCTCTCCAGCCTCACCCCATCTGAGAGGGATCCTGATGATTTCAAATCATTGATTCAGCTCCCTGGATTTTTTTTTTCTTTTCTCTAAAGTAGCAAAACCAAGAACCATCTTTTTAAATGGCTAAAGTTATTGTGTGGAAACAAAAATGAATATTTCATGAGTGTCTATTATATACTATGCACAGGATTAGAAGCCAGATCTTGAGTAAAAAGCTTTATAAAGATGTTTAGTTATTGGCTTAGAAAGATTTGGTTTCCTCTCTGAATGTAGAGAAGTTGTCATTTCCTTTAATTATGAACTTATTAACTGTTTTTCTACTCTTAGTGAAAAGGGCATATTATTTATCAGAACAATCCATGTATTAATGTTTTTCTTCCTTTTTAACCTTGCACTGAGGGTACCTCCTTGTGTTTTGAGCCTAACTTTGCCTGGATTTAATGGACCAAGCATTTCAGTGGTCACATCACTGACATCAAACATGATCAGACCTTAGCAGGGAGAGTCCACTTTATCTTAGTCATATCCTATTTTAGCACAGCAAGAGAGACCCAGTCACCTAGTTTGGGATTGGGGCTGATCCTGTGTAAACATTGGTCTTTGAGTCTACATCCCCAGAGGCAGACGCTGTGCCTATTTTATTTGCATTGAATGCTGCCATGTTTTACCCTTGCACTCTATAAATAATAAATAAGGACAATAATGTAGAGTTTTCACATTAAAATATATTGGATGGATAATAAGACAGCCTATTATTCCTATAAACAATTGGATTTATTCTAGGAACACTGGTATACAAAATGATTTTGGCCTTTTAAAACTGCATCTTTTCTTGTATTTTTGTTGGAAATTTGCATCCATAAGTCATATTGTCAATAACACATGTATTGCATTTCCCTAGAGATGTAAGTCACATGTTGCATAGAGAACCACAAAAGTAGTGTTTTTTATGGTCCTTCCTGGACTTTTATCTACACCACAAGATGACTCATTTCACAGCTTTAATCATGGTCCTCAAAAGAAGTTCCAGAAGGTGAACCCAAACAAAAAGCTGCTGTAGTATTTCATAACAAGTGGAAAAAAGAAGACACTAGTATTGTACTCAGTTTTTATATTTTATCTCTTAGATGATAAATTGACCCGAATACACCTCTGGCAAGAGAGAAGTTAGGACTTCAAACAGCACTTACTATATGCCCAAACAATACCATCATATTAAATTTAATACTTTCTATTTGA